GCTCCAAGCCCCACATATCACCCAGGCCGGGCAGCAGCCACAGCCGCAGCCCCAGCCCTGCCTAACTCCCCCACTCCCTCCCTCACTATGGGAGCCTCACTCCCCCCACCCCACCAGACTTAGAGCTTCTCTCCAGGCTGCATGACAGCCATGTGCATGTATACATGTGTGCATATGCACATGGTGCCCTCTACCTGACTGCCCTCCTCCCTGCAGACTCTTGCAGGCTGTAACTCTACAAGCCTGCAAGGGGAAATGCACTATCTCCTGTGTTTTTATCCTTTAAAGAAGAAAATCTGTGTTTTTCTCCTTAAAATGAGAAAATCCAGGTTTTACCCATGGTGAACAGCAAACCTGGATGTCTGGTAATGACCTTCCAAAAGTAGGAGGTACCACAGTGGCCAGGTGCTCTGAGGCTGCCATGCTTGCTCTGTCCAACATCCCCAGGGGGTGAGGCACTGTGTGCCAGGTCCTGCTGCACCCTGGCATTCCTGCTCACCCTGATTCAGGAGGGGACACTGCATCCTGGAATACTGGAGGACTTCAATTTGGGCACAATAGCTGCAAGGAATGGTCACACCTTAATGGAACAGGAGCAAAATTAAATGGTTTACAAATAATCTCGCCCTGAAACGGTGTAATTCTAAACTGGATAATGAGCACTTTAAATCACTTGAAGGTGTTAACGTGTAGCCAGTCCAGGGGTTAAGAGCTCTAGAAACTGCCTAAACTTACTGTGCAACAAGGCCCTTAGATTGTAAGCTCTGACCGTTTGAAAATGCTGGCCAATATTTATATAGCAAGGTCAATTATATACATTAATATGAACTTGGAAGCAATTTGCAGCATGGCAAAGAAGCAGAGGCACTGACTCTGGAACATGCAGCTTCGCTGTTAGACTGATGAGACTCCACACATCATTCTGAGACAGTCCTAAATACTCTGTTCACTATTTAGCCATGGAAAATATTAAACATACATCAGTTTTCATTTAGCAGTGAAATGTTATCTTGAGGTCAGGTTACAGGAAGCTGAGGAAGGGAGATGAAACCAATTCTCAAGCATAGGCAGGGCTGTGTGAAAGAGATTATACTATAGTTGATCACTTTGTAGTTACATGGGAAGAAACACTCTTTTTTTTTTCAGTAAAGCCAGCTTCCTTACAGAGACGAAGAAATTATTAATGTCATACAATAAAACACTGCTGCTCATTAGAAATATATAGTGATAATGAACTGATCTGTATGCAGTAAAACATTTTCCTGTTCTCTTTCATGTCCCCCACTCCCCCATTTTGATTGCAAGTTAGCTATAGAAGGACAGAAAGACACAGAAGGTGATGAAATATCAAATGTGGAATATTAGAACTAATTCTTTACTCCCAAGTAACATTAGACATTTGCATCTCATTGCAATGGGCACAGCTGTGATGGACACTGTTCTCTGATGTTTGCCTTCTAGTTATACAGCACTTCTATTGCCTTACCATCTGTTCCAAACAGCTGAAGGGTATTTTTGTTTAGAAGAAAATTTTCCTCCAGTGATTCAGATTAGGCATCAGCCTCCAAATATTTTGGACTTCTGAGTGTACCTTTGCAAATTGTTTGGAACTCATGCCAGCTATAGTATTCAGGCTACTTAGTCCCATGGTGCAGCCAAGAATTCAAATGCCAGATACTTCTGCAAGCGAGAAGAAACCTGTTCCCAGGCCTGCTTACTCATTCCACATTACATACTCAGCGGATCAAAAAAAGGAAAAGCAACCAAACAGAAATAACCCTGAAAGCAGGAACAAGAATGCAGGATACTTCTTAGTTATCACTGGGCTAGAGTTGTGTTCCCACTAGCTCCCTCTCTTTCTTGGCCCAGGGCTCTTGCCATTCTTTACTGCCTAGTGACAAAACAATGAATCCCCACCCAGGCAATTTTATAACCTAATGGTTACAACACTTTACTTGGGAGATGAGAAATTTTTACCCTCTCTGCCTGAGAATGGCCTAAAACCCAGGCCTCTGACTTTCTGGATGTGTGCCAGATTACTACTGAAAACAAGGCAACCCCAGCTGCTGCTCTGAATTTTAATGGGACAGAGGTGCTTAATGCAAAGCACTGAGTCAGATGCCTAAATTCTGAAGAGTTATTGGAATTCAGACCCCTCTCCCTTGTTGCTTAGCATTTCATATTGGCTAGCTCTGGGCGACTCCCTGCTCCACACCAAGGCACTTTTTGGAGGCACCTGACTCTCCTCTTTCAGTGTACTGGCATCCTCTAAGCACCAAACTGTGCCTATTTGGATTAGTTTCCTGGACAAGGCTTCTATTTTTAGCTGTGCTGAAATATAGCTAGAGGCTGGGATGCCTAAGCCTCTGTTCAGTCCACTAGATTTTACCTTTTCCTTGGAAACCTCACGTGCCATGGCTAGCAAAGACAAACCAAAAGTTGGCTGGATATTGCCTGTCAGAGAAGTAGGTTCATCATGCCCTGTAAATAATGATGAACACGATGGGGGCATTTTTTTTCCATTTGTTTGAAAATATCTGCGTAAATTATTGGTTTTACTCAGTGAAAAAGATAAAAGGAAAACACCCTTTTTGAAAATATAAAGTTCTTTTCCTTTCCCCCTTTTGCTTCCTTTCTCTACTTTCCCTTCACTTCCCAGTTGGAAAATGGTGAGGGGGTGGGGGCGACAGCAGTAGTGGTGGACAGTTTGTTCAGGGTTTTTTTTTCTGATTTCATAGTGTGATCCCCAAAATTCAATGAAAACAAACACTTTTTGTAAAGATTTTTGTTAAAAACCCATTGAAGTACTTGAGTCAGCTGTACTTTCCAGTAGTTCCAGTCTTCAGTTATGCTGTTACAATGGGAGAGTGGTTGCAGCCCTTGGTGAGAGTAGTGTACTTACCTGGATAGAATCTATAGCACTTTTCTTGTACACCTGAAATACATAGATAATGCCAGAAAATTGATATGTAAGTTAACCTTCCATGTGGCCCTGCATGTTCTACTGTGAAACTGCACCAAATCGCTCCCTATATCTGTAAGAGGGTTAACTCATATGGTATGAAATTGTTATCCCTAACTCCTCCTCAGTAGCAAAAATCAGACTGTCAGTTTTATAGTCTACCCTGGAACAAAGCACTGTTTTACCACCAATGTCTTTTTTGTGATGAGCTGTGGCTGGATTTTATAGCAGCATAATTCAAGTTAATAACCAGAGGTGTTCCAGAGCAACCAGTCACTTGGCACTTGGGAGATGGTGGGTTTGTTGATCTTCCCTTCATACAAGTGTTTAGAGCTGAGAGGATGGGATTGTAATTTACAAAACCTTATGTAAAAGAACAATCAAAAGCAGCCACTTCCCATTAGGATTACTTATTATTAACTTTTGGATAAAAGGGTGAAAGTGCAAAAGGAAATCTTTTAAAAAGTGTGCCTTCATCCCTCCATGGGAATCCTGGTACCTCTTGCTGTTTGATCCAGAAGTCTCCAGTGCCAGACTAAAGGCTGGAATTGTAGGACATAAGTAATCAGCAACTTGCATTGTTCATGGCAGTAACATTGGACGACTGCCCACGTGGACCTTGGGTAGGACCAGGCCTTTTGAATTTAACATGCCTATTCCTTCTTTGTGTGGACCTTAATTTTTTTTACATTCATTTCCTTCCCTGATCATAGATTCTCAGCCAATTAGCAATCCCTTTTATATGTTATAGTGTTAGTATTCTGCCTAAACTTATAGGTTAGTGAAATCAAGTTGATAGCCAGTGAAAAGGAAATGTTTAATTCAGTCTGCAACTCATTTCCAAAGGCCAAAAAGCCACAGCTGGACCAAGGCTTCCCTTCTGTAACAGACTGCCAATGTGGGCTCACCAGATTCCTTTGAGATACTTACCCTGGGCTAGAAACAGTGCCGGTGAACTCTGAGCGACCCCCAAGGGTAGAGCAGGGGAGCCCTGCCCTGTGGAAAAGGAGAAGCCAGTCCAAAGAAGGGTTTTTCAATCCCCTCATTTGCATGGAAGGGGGATGGCCGGAGTTGGGGGCCAGCCACCCTGAGCCCTGGTTGGCCGGTTTGCAAGCCATGGAGGGACTCCTGGAGGGGATAAAAGCAGCAGCTGAACTGGCATGGGGGCTGCTGACAGTGACCCTGGGGAATGACTTAGGAGGCCTAAGAAGAGCTGGGGTGAGCTGACCTAGCAGGGGGAACATAGAGACACCTCTGAAGAGCCTTGAAGGCCCTGGGAGAAGAAGGCAGCGGCAGTCGACTGTACCTGCAGCCCTGCAGCAGAGAGGGAGCAGTGGCCAGGGCTTGGGGCAAAGAGCTGGTGCCCCAAGGCCCCATCACAGTGTGCTGGATGTGCCAGGTGTCCCGGAGGCTAAGGGTGGCAGTCGGCCTCCCACTCCACTGCGGAGAAGCAGCAGCCAGGAGTGCAGGCGGCATCCTTATCCTGAGCAGGGAGCTGGACCAGTGAGTTGAGGAAACCCCTTACCTTCCCTGGGGAAGCAGGACAGCAGCAGGCAAGGCACTGGGATCCCGAGGAGCAGCAGAGTGCCAGAACGAGGGTCCCCAGGAGCTCAGGGTGCAGGCCGGTGCTTGGAGCAGGATTGGCAAGCCACGAGGGATGTCTGGCCAGTCGTCTGGAGCAGGGGTTTAGAGCAATGACCCCTGAGAGCTGCCTATGCTGCCGACCCTCTGCTACTGACTGCCCCAGAGGGGACACAGTCCTGTCTCTTATTCTGCAGCTGATTGTCATTGGATGGAGTCCCTGAGGTTTGTGCTTGGGTCATGCCTATTGCTGCAGGAGCCTACTCTGTTGCTTGCCTTTTTGGTTGCCACGGAGGGTCGCCCTTCAGCCTCTTTGTGGGGTTGGGGTTTGATATAG